CCTTTGTGAGAGGCTCACGCCTGGAGGAAATTAGATCATACCTTCCATGTTAACATATGGCAAATGACAACATCTGGCGCCGGCACACTTGCCCCTTGCCTGCTCTGGATGCCTCTGCTGCGCCTTTGGCCAGTAGGAGCCCGGCTGGTCCCAGTGCTGGCAGGACAGTCATGCCCATGGCTTCTGCAGAGTCCCGTGGAGTGCCCCAGTGAGTGTGGCTCCGTGTTCAGTCCGTACAGCTAAGACGATGGAAGACGGGCTTTGTTCCCTCCCCTTTCATGTTCCTTCTGAGCTCTGAGCAAAAGAACTCATGAGGAGAATTAAAACAAATAATTTTTGTCTTTCCATGCTTCGTATTTGAAAACAAACAAACCAAAAAACCAGTCTATGGATGTGTTCCATGACAGATAGAGAAGATGAAAGAGTGTCCTGAGAAGAATCATGGCTGAAGAATAGAATGACAAGAGTTAGCTCAGATCAAATGGATACATTTGATTTTATTTTCTTTGCTCATTTTCAGATAGGAGCTAGAAATATAGCTCGGTAGAAGAGAGTGGGCATGGTATATGCAAAGCCCGGGTTAGATCCCCAGAATTACCCTGCCCAAATGATATGTTTATACCTTTGCTTTTTTTTTTTTTTTTTTTTTTAAATTGAAACAGTGTCTCATGATCCAAAGCTGGCCTCAGACTTGCTATGTACCCAAGGATGACCTTGAACTTGTGATCCTCCTGCCTCTACCTCTTGAGTGCTGAGATTATGGGCAAGCACTGCCATACCCAGTCAGACCTAGGGTTTTGTGCATGCTTGGCAAGCACGTCACCCACCCAGCCACATCCTCAGCCCTGTTCCTCCTTTTCACTGAAATGTGTGTTTCTGTGTATGTCTGAGCAAGGGCTTGAAATCAGGGCTCTTTTCTCTAGAGGCCGGAGGGTGTCTATTCCTGTCTCGTTCGTGTTGCCCAAGCAGCCATTAGGGTGTGGTGGCCTGCTCTGGAGTGTGTCTGTTGGAGGAAAGGTAGAGCTAACCTTTGGCACATGTCCTTAGTCCAGACAGAGGTCCCCAGTCTGCAGCAGAGAGACGTCTGGATGAGTGAAAAGAGCCTCGGCAACACCTGGAGGAGCCGGTGGCCACTGTTCTAAGTCTTTGAAAAAAAGGCTGAGTCTATTTTTGAGATGAATTGATAGGGTTGGTCTGCCTGTGTGGAGGCCGGGAGACTAGAATGTCATGTTCCTTCACTGAAGCCGTGTGGTGAGCAACTCTATCCAGACAGAATGTCCCACCTCGCAGAGACCCAGAAAGAATGACTGTGTGCCAGGAGCGAGACGGAATGTGACTGCAGCTGATGACGCAAAGTGAACAGTCCACCCGAGCAGTCCACTGAGCCTCGTCCTGGCTTTCCTCGGAGCCTAACATGTCCCCTCTGTTTCTGTCTTTCCAGAAGCGCGTACTGTGCTGCCTCAGTGGCTTCTCTAACCAACATCATCACGCCAGACCTCTTTGAAGGCACCGCCGAATGGATAGCAAGGTGGGAGAAGTCACGTGGTCCCCAGTCCTCCGAGAGCGATTGGTCAAGAAAAGCTAAAAGTCTGGAAAGAAATATAAAATTCTAAGAGATGTCTTAGGGGTTATATGTTGTGCCCTTTACAAATACTTGAAATAAGCTGGGTGGTGGTTGCCCATGACTTTAAGCCCAGCACTCGGGAGGCAGAGGCAGGCAGATCTCTGAGTTCGAGGCCAGCCTGGTCTACAGAGTGAGATCCGGGACAGTCAAGGCTTCACAGAGAAACCCTGTCTCAAAAAACAAAAACAAACAAACAAACCCCAAACACTTGACATTATTTTCAGACTCTCATTAATGTGGTATTATAGTTCAGAATGGCAGGGGCCAAAAGCTTGGGTGAGTAGTATTGGTGGGAGTCTAAATTGACTGAGGCAGTTTGGCAGTATCTCAAAACACCCTTGCTTATGAAACCCCGTAACACTACTCCCAGAAACTCTCACCCACATGCATGGAAGAGACAAAGACTTGTTTCTAAGAGCAAAAGGCCTGAGACAGGACTGGGTGTCGTGGCCCAGGGTAGCCACACTCGGGCTGTAATCACAAGGTCATCTTCTGCCTCGTCTTGAGTTTCAGGTGAGCCTGGGCTACAAAAGACCCTCTTAAAAATAAAAAACCAAAAGGCATATATATGTGTACATATATATGCTCGTCTTTATTTTTATCAAAATAGTACTTATTTCCATGTTAATATACTGCAGTGACACCAGATGATATACTATGATCATATTTTTTGTATAACTTTCATTTTCCTGGAGTTAGTATACATATCATGGATATATTTATCAGGAATTCATCTCCAAATTCTCTACCAGTACTACAAAGTTATTCTTCATACAGTCCAACATTTTAAATCATGTTTTCTTTTGTGTATTTATGCACATGCATGCATGTTTGTGTGTGTGTGTGTGTTCTGGGTCATGCCCCCCCCTGGAGCCCTCACCCTCTTGCTTCAGATCTAGACAGATTGCTCTCAGCTTGCTGCTCAGCAGGCATCTAGAAGCTTCCTTACAGCATGAAATTCACTTCATTTTCTGGTTTGTTGGAACCCGTCCTTTTTTTTTTTTTTTTTTGAATGATTATTAGTCATTTTCATAAAGCATAGTACTCCAAACGTTCTCCAAAAAGGGCACCTGGAAAATGCATTTTTAAGATCCTACATGTATCTTTATTTGCAAGCCTGCTTGGTCATCTGTATGGTGAGAGATTGATAGGTTGGCAGTGGTGTTAGACTCTATTTGTCTGGATTTGTGAGCATTGCTCCATCGTCTTCTGACTTTCCACATTACCATCAATGAATCTGATTTTCCCAGTGGCCACCAGTCATTGAGGACAGAGTGTTTTGTAGACTGACGGTGATGGTTTAGAGATTAAGACTAGGCACTTCGGCTCTTTTTAGTGTTCTGTTTCTCAGTTGAGATGCCCCATCATTTTGTTCCTTCCCAGTGTGCTTTTCTTCGCTTCCCAAGACGAGTTCGTAATTATATCTGCTTTCAAACCCTTGGGGGAACCAGGTGAGTAGCATGTGCCATAGCATAGCACTGCTTAGGAGGGTAAAGGCAGAAAGATCCATTGAGTCCAGGAGTTCACTCAAAAGGGTGGTGTGTGTGTGTGTGTGTGTGTGTGTGTGTGTGTAGATGTGACTCAGTTGTTAAGAGCACTGCCAATTTTTCCAGAGGATCCACGTTCAATTACCAGCACCCTCACGGCCATTCATAACTGTCTGTAACTTGGGTTCCAGTGAATCCAATATCCTCTGATGGCCTCCATGGACATAAGGCATTCATATGGTGCACAGGCATGCATGTAGGCATAAAATGTACATGCATATGTAAAATAAAATCATAATTAAATAAAACTGTAAAGGCCCATGTCTAGGTCTTTTCAGCATGTAGGTAACTTCAAGTTGATATCTTGTTTTTCTTGGCGTTCCCGTGTTGAATGGCTTTGGACTGCGTCGTGGACATTGTGGTTGGTGTATTGTAGAGAATGGATTCTGTTAGATTGCGTCAAAGCATGTTTTTGTTTTTAGCAGACAAGCCACATAGTCACACTCATACTGCAAACTTCCAACAGTGCTCTGCCCTGCAGTGGGCGGCGGCTCAGATCTCAGGTCAGTTTGGAGTCCAGGCCGCTCAGTTTGCCTGCTGTGTATGTCCTTTCAAGGGAGAAACTTGAGCCGAATTTGGGTTTTTCCATCTCTGACTCTCCTGGCGTGTCCTCACTTTCTAGCAGCCTGTTTCGTCCTGCTAAAGATGCTGGGTTTCTGCTAGAGTTTTAGCTACCCTGCCCAGGCTACCACTGCTACCACGTGGGTACCATGGCCATCCCCTGGGCAAACCAGAAGGAACAAATGAAGGGAAAAGGAGGCCAGGGTGGTGCAGAAGGAAACCAGTTCTCCGTAGTTGTTGGCTCCAAGTTTGAATGCTCCCCTGAACTCCTGGTGTCTTAGTCAGCTGGGCCTCGGCGATGTTTTGCACTGTGTAGGAGTGTCCAACCAGTTTACAGGAGGCCTCACTAGCAGGACACTCACTGAACACGGGGATCTGACTGAACCAGTTTTACTGTGTGTTACCAGCTTTGGGCCTAGGGCGTATTTCATTTGTTTGTGTCGATTGATGGGATGTCAAATTGTATGTACGTCTGGAATACACAGGATTCAAGTGAGCTTGCCTGTGATGGTAGCCACAGTGCCTGCCACCATGCCAGGGCATCAAGATGCCCGGGCTCCTGGGCAGTTTTGTTTTGTTTTTGTCTTTTCTCTCCATCACCACCCTTGTGGCTGTCTTGAGACTTTGAGAATCTTTATCGGTGCTGTTCAGAACCTTCATGATGATGAATCTTGGTGTGGATCATTTTCATTGTGTATGAGGCACTCAGCAGGACTCTGATTTGGAAGCACACATATTTCAGACCAAGAAATCGCATTGCAATATTTCTTTGGCAACTTTTTTTTTTTTTGGAAACAAGGTCTCACCGTGAACCCAAATCTGACTTTACCACTGCTGGTCCTCTTGCCTCAGTCTCCTACCCACGTGCTAGGATTATAGGCATATGCCTACATACTCAGCTTGCTTGCCCCCTTTACAGCACCTAATTAGTAGTATTAACCTCATTTCTTCATTTTCATTTTCATTTTTATTTTTTGAGACAGGGTTTCTCTGTGTAATAGCCCTAGCTGTCTTAAAATTCAGTTTGAAAGCCAGGCTGGCCTGGAACTCAGAGATCGCCTGCCTCTGCCTCCCGAGTGCTGGGATTAAAGGCTTGCGCCACCACTTCCTGGCTTTAAAGACTTCATCAAATTTGTTCTTAGACAGTTTTATATATGTGTATCGTACATCCTGGCTACTGTCACCCCCACCTTCCCTCCTCTCCCTTCCTCCAGTTTCCCACATTCATGTCTTTCTGTTTTGTTTTGTGACTCAGTGACTTTACCCAGGGTTGTCTGTGTAACCATGGCTTTGGGGCTATCCATGGGAGCTTGGTGGACTCCTCAATGGATACATCACTCAGGACAGTGGCTGCCCCTCCCCTAGACTCCATCAGGCGGGAGGGGTGGGGCCCTGGTGAGTCCCTCCCCTATCCATGACTAACCTTTGACGGAGCCTGTCTTACGCAGGTCCAGACACTGTGAGATCATGACTCTAATGCCATATTCGGCCTAACAGCATTTCACAGCCCTTATATTCTTCGCACCTCGTTCAGATGCTCTCTGAGCTGCAGAGGGAGTGGTCTCAGTGGCCTGGCAAAGGATGTGCATTCAACATCACTTCTTCTCAGCACCTTGATCAGCCAGACATGTTTGCATTCATCACCATTAACTGAGGAAGGAGCTTCTCTGTGTTGAAAGCAGCATTGGAGCCTTGTGTGGCAGATTGACCTAATTGTTTTTATGAAGCCCATTGAGGGTGTGTTTCTATCTCCTAACTTTTTCTTGTGTTTTCCAAGAGATTCTCTTACTGTTTATCTTCTCGTCCTTCTGTTGAGGTTTTATTTGCTAATCTTATTTTTAATTTTCCAGAATTCAGTTTTCCCCCCTGAGTGCTTATGTTTTATATTCTCAGATGTTCTGCTCAACAGTTAAGAGCACTGGCTGTTCTTTCAGAGAACCTGGGTTCAACTCCCAGCACCTACATAGCAGCTCACAATCTTCTATAATTACAGTTCCAGGGGATCTGATGCCCCTTTTCTGGCCTCCATGGGCACTGCACATGGTATACAAACATACATGCAGGCAAAACACCCATACACTAAAAATAAATAAATCTTCAAAAAATAAAAATAAGGTGCAGCATTAAGCAGTTTTCTTCTGTGCCCAGTATCATCTCCTCCACTTTGCTTTCGAGGATGGGTCTCTCTTTCATATCGGAGATTTGCTCCCATATCTAGTGCTTAGCTGCTCTGTTCGTATTGAGTCCAATACTAAAAAGCCGATAGAAGTCATATACATAAAAGTGAGCTATGACCACGCTGTTCTCCCGGGAACTCTCATATATCAGTATCTGTAGGGCTTTGTTCTTTCAAATCCCTGCTTAGGATTTGAAGCTCGAAGGCGACCTTAGGAATTCCTAGTCGGGGAAGGTGGGGTGTTTGTGTCGTGTGGGGGCCCCACTGACCCCTCCTGTTTTCTGCTGTGCTGCGGAAGCTGGGATTCACTACCCCCTCCCTTATTGGTGGGACTGTGGATTTTAAGAGAGGTACAAATGGAGACACAGAGACAGAGGCTGGGCCTGGCATGGGCTTTTGAATCCTTAAAGCCCACCCCTGTGACACACCTCCTCCAACAAGGCCACACCTCCTAATCCTTCTCAAATAGTGCCACTCCCTGCTGACCAAGCTTCAAATACATGAGCCCATGGGCGCCATTCTTATCCAAACCACCATAATAATCAAACATAGTCCTGCTCTTGGCTGCTGCTGCTTCTCCACCCCGGCCCCAGAACTGAGGTGTTTAGGGGCTCTGAGGA